AACTTGTATTTTTTTTTTTTTTTTTTTTTTTAAAAAACTATTATTTTTCATTATACTCAATTATTCTCGTTAAATACCAAACGTAATCATAGAAAATTGACGGGAGAGTGATATGTAATTACAAACTAGTTTGGGAGCGCGGGTGATGCAACGATATTTTTAAATACCAAGTGAAAATATAAACTTTTTTTTTTTTTTTGAATGGAAATGAAAAGATTACATTGAGTGTAAATAATATCTTGTAACCATCACTTAGGTTTAAATAATAATAAAATAAAAATGGTAAAATGAGTTGGGGAAAGAAAGAGAGATGGAGTAGTATTTGTTTACAATAAAAATGCTTAAAAACTTTAGAATTTTTAATAAAAAGTACAACTTATGAATGTTAATTAAGTAATGAAGTAACATTAATTGTGGAATAGAAACAACAAATACAATAGAGTAAATATGAATTTTATTCATGGTAATTGACTACTTGATAATAACAGTGGTAATGAAAAGTTGGAATTCCAAGGGACGTAATGGTTTAAATCTAATCCAAATATTAATGTGTGGTGTCATGTCATCATTTATGTGGCGCTGTGTCATAAATTTCATGATGACATAAGAATGACATATGTCGTCAACATGTTAATCCCTTGAGTTTTAATAATATCTATACTAATATATTAAAAGGCGTTCCCAAGAATGTCCACATGTCACGTAAACCCCATCACTACGCCACGTCACCCACTCATTATGCCACGGGGCTATTATTTCCATTTGTGTTTTCATTGCATGTCATGTACTTAAAAAAAAATTAAAAAAAAAAAAAAAATCTCCACAAGATTTGAACACACAATCTCTAATTCTAGACCTAAGTGTCTTACCACCAAGCTATGTGATTTTTTATGCAATTTTTTAATACAAAATATTAATATGTAGCAAATGATAATATGAACAACAAATATAATTACAAGAAAATTGAATCACATATTACAACGTATATTAATGATCAGTTCCAAGTTATAATTCAAGACATCATGCGGGCGCAAAAACTAGTTATAAATGAAACTCACCTTTCCCCTACCTTTCTCTCCGTCCCCTTCCTTTCTCTCTTCTACTTTGTGATCCAACCAAAGTGTTTGTCATCTAAAAAAGATAAATGCTTCAGTAATTTTTGGTTATGGGGTTTTGGTTTTATATTATGTTTCCGTGAAAGAGAAATTTCACCTTTTGAATTGGCTTTTAGCCCTTTTATGGCTATTAGGGCAATTAGATGGTTTGTTAATTGTTATATACAAAGTTTCCATAATATGGTAATGAGTCGAATTTTAATGACACAACATCCTTAATGTTTGATGTTAGAAGTTGAGATTTGAGATAGGTCCTTCATGTTGATGTCTTGGATCATCAACCAATAACAATCTTCCTTTCTAGAAGTAGTTCTACGATTTGTTTTACAAATAGTGTGTTGTGTATTAGTCATTTTAATAATGATGGGAGAAAAGTTTTTATCAAAAGCAAGAAAAAATATTAAATTTTAACCTATGAAACTACAAAAATAACAAAATTGGAGCTTTCCACTCAGTAAATCAATGAAAGCCCTTTTAAAATTCACTAATTGAGGCTAACTTTTAAGAGAGAGGGGAATAATATGAGTATCTGCTAGTTAAATTGATGGGTTAAAATATTTGAGTTGATATTTTAAGATTTTAAAAAAGCAAAATTTTAAAATAAATAAAAAATATTCCGTATGAAATAAGTTAAAATAGTACATCTTCGGAACTCATGGTATGCTATGGTTACCAATTGGATAATCTACTCACTGAAATATAGATGATGAAATTTAATTTGTAATATTCAATCATATTCCATTTTTGATTTATGTGTATCTCTTGGAGGTTGATTATCCACTAGCTTAGTTAGACAAAAGTTTTGTTCAGACGCACATCTTCCTTGTTCAATTAAGGGATTGGATCACGAAGGGAAAATATTTCTAGGAAATACCGATTGATTAGATTAGTAATTAGTTATTTCAAATCTTTTGCTTAGTAATCGGAAAAGATGATTAGAAATGCTTGATCATGTGAGATGGTAATCATTGGAAGACTTAGAGATTAATTAACCAATAATTGAGAATAACATTATCATTAAATCCCATGTGAGTTCCGTAATGAATGAAAGAAACAAGGGAATGTAGTATCCTTATGTACGGGCAGCTTGTGCGACTTTGCTAGTAATTTTGATAATATAATATTAAGCCTTAATTATTACTGTATTAGATTATAATAAGTGAATTACTTGACCATTCCAACTCTCAAAGTAATATATTTTCTCTATTATCAAATAATTAAATGAAAATAGAATCATAAACAAATTCATCATGTTCCTCCATAAATTTTGGTATTGGTTTATGGTTACATTCACACTTTGAATCCATGGCTTTCTTAGGTCCTTCTCAATTTATAATGTGTAAGTGTACATCTATTATTGTTAAAAAGTCATTAAGAAAAAGGAATGAAGCCGAAATCGTGTGAACAAATGAATGGAAACACAAAATAGTGTTGATTGTGTGGTGTACAACAAACATTATTACGACTTTACGAGTAGAATTTTATAAAAATTGACTAATGCTTGTCCATGATATTGGAGTCCTGGCCTATCTGAAATTAGATATATATATATTTCTTGAATCAAATTCAGTGTACAATCTTTCTTATATACAATAGTGGATGGCGTAATTCTAGGCTAGAATGTTTACATTTACTTTAATTACAAAGAAAATCCCATTTTGACTATTTATAGTCAAATTTTTAAAATTTGACCAAAAACTAACGTTAATACTTAATAAGATGAAATATGTTGTACACAACCCTTAGCTTATAGCTACACGTAAGGAGTTAAATATGGAAAAAACAAGCGAAAATATAACATTAATTATACTGTTTTGTGTGTAATTTTGTCATGTATTCCTACATTAATATCAAATTAGAAAAGGTATTAAATGCTTATTCTTAGCCTTTAGGGCTACATATAGCATTATCCATAAAAATATTTATATGAGATATTGTTGGATTCGTCTACATGTGTACGTAGAATAAATATGAAATGGAAGGAGTATAATTAAGATATTAATGGTTAAAGTGTATTTAGAGACCGAGCAAAGTTAAAATGAGACTATCTATGTGAAATGGAGGGAGTATTATTTTGAAACTAAGGAACTGTATGAGAGATAATCATGGAGTAAATTAATATTCTGTCACTATCCTCAAGATTTTTGCTTTTTTTCTTTCTTAAATTTTCATATAATTTTTTTTTTTTTTAGGAATATCTTAAATTCTCATTTTAATTCAATACCAATTACGGAATAGTAAATGACGGAAAGTATGAAATCGAAATTGTCATTTCATAGCAAACAAACTGAGGTATTTCTCTTACTCCCTCCATCCTTTTATTAGATGTCTATTTTTAGTATTTATTACTCACATAATAAAGAGAAATAGACATCTAATTAAGGGACGAAGGGATCAAGGGAGTAATTTTTTCTAAATTTTTAGCTCAAATTATTTCCTTAAGAACCAAAATGACCCCAAAAAACTCAAATTGAACAATTTTATCAGCTTTGATAGTTTGATCCAATATTGACAAGATATGATCCGATCTTATAGCAAGTATCATTCCTCGAGATAAGAGATGATCAATTTTGGCCCGTTTCGCTAATCTGGCCCGATCCAATCCAAAAATAGGGCTTGATTGGGCAAGCCAAAAACCTCTTATTTTTCAGTTAAAAACCCAATTCTAGCCTGAAAAATCCACCACCACTTTCTTACGAGTTTGGACATGAAATTTGATGCTAAGTCCCGACATGAATATTTTATCACCTCTACCCGAGATTCCTACATGTAGTAACAACTATGGTTTCCACATTCTATTAAGGCTTAGCTTTGTCATTTCCTTTTGACCATATACTAAACTAAGCCGCCAATGGTATGCCTTCAATCCTCTTCATCTTTGTAAATTGTAATCATGAAGGACAGGTTTTGATTATTAATTCATCAAAAAATTATTTTTAAAAAAAAAACTTAAAATTGAAATTTTAAAATAGATTTACGAATCAACTGTTGCACTAAAAAGTTGACACATAATTAGCACAATAATAATGAAATAACCTTACAAAAAACTTTATGTTATATTGTTATAATAAGCTGCATGAATATATAATATAATTAGGGAGGGTCAACAAAAATCACATGGTAGGCTTATCTCTAGAATATAATGAATTTGGCGTAGAACAAGGCAACGTGATTACATGATTAAACAAGTAAGATCCCTGACATTTTCACGATCAATTATTAAATGCATCAAGGTTTTATGAACCTAATTATCCAGCCCAATCTTTGCTTTGTTAATTGTTTCCATCGAATTAGCAATGTTGTTTGAGTATTAGAGATAACGTATTATCTTAACCTATTAATTAGGATATATATGGCATGCTTTTTAAATTGTCTAATCGTAGTGTCTTCCTAATTTAAGGTTCAATGTATTGGAATGTGTGTTAACGGATTATTAACTTATACTCCGTACTAATTGATGTGCGTTAAGCCGTTAATGGAGTATAAGTTCGTACTAATTGATGTGCGTTGATGGCGTATATGTTAATACTCATTGTGAAATGCAAATGCTTTCATTGTTAGCATCACAATATCTTAGAATAAGGCTTTCAGTGTTTCACCAAATCCCTACCCCTAGCACATACATTGTTTTCGATTATTGAGTAACTGATCGAATTGTCTCATGTGGTTAATTAGCTAGGTAGAAGTATGCATATATGACATTTTTTTAAAGCACAATGTTTGAAATTTTATACTATTCACCAACCGAAAAAATTGGGTGAGTCGGACTCACGGTGAGTTCAATATATGTGACAATAATAATCTAATATCTACAATAATAATTATATAATATTTGACAATTATATTCTATATATGACATTAATATTCTAATATTTGACATTAATAATGATTATTGAAGGTTCTTTTAGCTTCAAACAAAGAGAATCTGATACGCTGATCTCAGTTATTCCTAATTCTCCTTTAAAGGAGGGTTTAGATACCCAGCTGCTGAAATCGAATAATGTATATCCTCAATCGCCGGTTGCTAATTTTGGTAGTCCCAAAGATGAGGCTGCTGTCAAGTTGCAGAAAGTCTATAAAAGCTTTTGCACCAGGAGGAAGCTAGCAGATTGTGCTGTCCTTGTGGAGCAAAGCTGGTGGAAGCTGTTAGATTTTGCAGAGCTTAAGCGTAGTTCTATATCCTTTTTCGATGTTGAACACAACAGCATGAGACTGCCATTTCGCATTGGTTTAGAGCAAACAAGTGATTGAAAATTAGGAATAACTGAGATCAATGTATCAAATTATTAGATTATTAACGTCAGATATTAGATTATTAATGTCAGATATAATCGACTCACGGTGAGTCCGGTCTCACGCAAAAAACTTCTCTTCACGAACACTTCTTTAATAATGTTTTTTATAATTTATTTATTGAAAAAAATATAGTGATTTTGTTAGATGAGTCATAAAATTTACTTTTATAATATCAACTTCATCTAATTTTACTACGGTACAACATAATTTAAGATATTTAAGTTATAATATATACATTGACAAACGTAAAATCATAAATGTTGTGATAAAAAATAAAGTACGGAATACTCCGTATTATATAGTAAGAACAACTAGTTATATTAATACAGTACGAAGTATTTAGGAATTAGGTCCAAAAACATTGGTTAATTCTCTGTTTTCTTACCAAGTTCTTTTTACCAAGCCACATATATCACGATCCTAGTTGTTGCGTGAGCTAGAATATTTTGTGAATCGTAACAAATGGCAAATAGGCTGTTGGTTAGCACACTTGCCCCAGAATATATTTAAGTAATCTTTTCATCATCCATTCCTACTACGGAGTAATTACCAACCTCATGTCTAGAAGAAATTTACATAATACAGAAAACAAAATCCAAAAGGAAAATTGTAAACTAATAATTCCACCTTTACCCCGTCTTCCATAAATAATCCCACCTTTTGAAATTTCAGAAACAATCCCACCTTTGACAGGGATCTTCCACTAATGATTCTTTTGACCTATAACCTGTTAAACCGGTTAATAATTTTTTTTCTTAGTCTTTCTCCTTGGACCACCAGTCCACCACCATTCCACCCACGCAGCTCCTTCACTCACCATACCAGCCTACCTGCTCACCACATTGACACCTCACCTAGCACCAACAACATGCTGCTGCCCTTCTCCCACTTCACCACCAGCGGCAACCGAAAGCAGCCGCGCTACTACTGCAGCCAACAGCCATCGCACCAGCCACGACTCACGCACCTTTCTCACAACAAATTCGCAACAGAAGCTCACAACAAGCAACCAGCTTCTGCAACAGCCGGTAAACCACCGCCTAACCCACCTCACAACGCCGCATCAACGCGCCACCAATGCAGCCCACTTACAACCGCCGGACCTCCAATTCAATAGCTGCAACATCAATTCACACCCACAATTCAGCCCCTAAATTAACCCCAAAAATAATTTAAAAGAAATATCAAGGGTCGATTTTGGGCTTTGAAGCCTGAAAACTCCATCCCCAGCCCCTAAAAACCCGACCCATCCTTGAAAACCCAAACCCTAGCCTTGGAAAACTCGACCCCAGCCACCTTCCTCAAGTTAGTGAAGGAGAAGAAGAAGATACGAAGAGATCATTGAGAAGTTGAGATTAAGTCGGACGCCTAGGTTGGGTTGCCGAGGAAGGGAGGCGGCTGCGACAGTGATATGGAGGGGCGGGGGTGGGGCTAGCCCCGATAACAATGGCGGGGGTTAGGGGTTTTGTTTTTTTTTTTTTTTTTTGTTTTTTTTTAATTTTTTTTAATTATAAAAAATAGAATAAACCAACTAAAAGTCGACACGTGTCTCATAACCTAGTAAAACCGGTTACCAAAATAATTTAACCGGTTATGGATTGTTAGTGGAAGACCCCCGTCAAAGGTGGGATTGTTTCTGGAATTTCAAAAGGTGGGATTGTTTATGGAAGATGGAGTAAAGGTGGGATTATTAGTTTACATTTTTCCAATCCAAAACTAAGGTAAAAACATTAATATCCAAGTATTTAGTGGTCGAGTGAAGAGTGTTGCATTGCAATTTGCAGTATCAACAAAATAAATAGTATACTAACTCTAACAATTAACGAGCTTTATGTGTGATTTGATCAATGTAAGACGGTTGTATTCAAAACTCGTGTTTAAAATAATACGGAGTATTTCTATTTCCCTCTAATGAAATTTAGTAACAAACTCAGGTTCAACCAACTTCCTAATTAGATCAAGCAACTAGACTACTAGTACATCCCATATTATATATTTTAAAATGATAATTTGTTACATTAATTAATTAGCACAATAACCCAAAAAACTGAAAGGTTGCTTTACGGCGCTTTACGTTATGGCCTTTTTCGTCAAAATGTAACGGTAATTCGGTAATGATCCTCTACTCTTTCCCACCATCTTCTCATCTTCCTTTAACTAACTTTTCAACTCCCACCAAGGCTATTTTCGTCATTTCACCTCTTCAAATTCTCTCTCCTTAGAAAAAAATCTTAATCAAATGAAATAAAAATAAAATAAAAATATTTCTATGTTGTTATTTGAACTACCTTCAAATTCCTATAAATACCCTTTTAAATGCATGTAATGTTCCTCAACACACCCAAACTCATATACTAACTCTAATATAAATTTTCTCCCTCTAGAAAGTTCTAATTTAAAATGGGGAGAACATTCACATTTTTTTTCTTTACACTTTCTCTCCTAAATTGTGCTCTTATTATTGCAGCCAAAGGAGTAGGGGGCGCATTGTACAATGTTGCCACATTCGGGGCGAAACCCGATGGGAAAACGGACTCTACCAAGGCGTTTGTGGATGCATGGGCCGCCGCTTGTGGATCCACAGGGCGGCCCACAATTCACGTGCCCCAGGGCCGGTTTTTTATTAGTAATGCCATTACTTTCAACGGAGCTAGATGTAAGAACAAGGGTGTTAACTTTAATATTAAAGGCACCCTTGTTGCACCCTCGAATTATCGAGTTCTTGGCAACAAGGGTACTTGGCTAGCTTTTCAATATGTCACCGGAGTGTCGATCTCCGGTGGAGTGTTGGATGGTCAAGGTGATGGTTTGTGGGCTTGTAAGGTGGCCGGCAAAGGCGGGTGCCCAAGTGGACTCACGGTGAGTGTATATAAATCTAATTACATTGTCATTCTTTCTAGTCATACTCCACGTTACATGAATTTGGTCACCAAATTAACGAAGAAAAAAAAAAATGTAAATTGGTCAATGAAGTCTCAATTAGTACATTTATAAAATGAAAAAATCAAAGGTCTTTTAGTTCCATAAATTACATGACTTCAATAAGAAAGTAGCTAAACAATGAATATTTTCTACAAAAAATTATGCTAAATTTGATGATTACCCATAAGCAAACATAACCTCAATTTTTATAAAAAAAATAATTTATCTAACTAAATTCAAAAGTGGTCATATAAGTCATTTCCAAAAATTATTATCAACTCCTTAATAATTATGTCCCCTTTAAGACTAAGACGTTTTAATACAACCGTTTAAGTGGGAGTAGCTTACATGTGACTTGATCCAGATTGCACGGGGGTGCAACACGGAGTTAATCAAGCATAAACCATATAGGAGTATTACGTAATTGACATTATTATAATTGTAATAGCATAACAAATTAACAGCCCATAAAATAATGATAAAGTAACGAACATAATACACCTGAAATTCCATGTGATTGATTGTGTCTAAACTATAGTAAAAACATTCATTATCTCAGAGATTATATAACACATGATTTTGATTTGGTTTGTTTGAGTAAATACTACCTTCGTTTCTGAATGATGGTACGCAAGGAAAATAATTAGTACGTGTATAATGTACTTGTCGTAAATGTAAATTATGATTATTCATTTTGCAGATAACTTTATTTTTTAGAGTTAGCTTATTGAACGTTATTGTTGTTTCTATGGTACATGCAGAATATTGGGTTCACAAGCTCCAAAAATATTGCGATCAAAGGATTAACCTCGCTAAACAGCCAATTATACCACATTGTATTTGTTGGTTGCCAGAATGTGAAAGTTCAAGGCACGAAAGTTTCAGCCTCCGGGTCGAGTCCTAACACCGATGGAATTCATGTACAATCATCGACTGGTGTAACAATAAGAAGTACTACTATTGGTACCGGAGATGATTGTATCTCAATTGGCGCCGGAACCACGAATATGTGGATGGAGAACATCAAGTGTGGACCTGGTCATGGTATCAGGTATATAATCCTCAATTTTCACCTGGAATAATTGTCAATACACAACCTAAAACACGTGGATAATACGATATTTTTTCCTATATTTTGCTTACCAAAAAAAAAAAAAAAAAATTTAATTGTGCAGCATTGGAAGTCTTGGCAAAGAGATGAATGAGCCCGGAGTACAAAACATAACAGTGAAGACGGCAACATTTACCGGTACTCAAAACGGTGTCCGAGTCAAGTCTTGGGGAAGACCTAGCAATGGCTTTGTAAAGGATGTATTGTTCCAACATATTACTATGGTCAATGCTCGAAACCCCATTATTATTGACCAAAATTATTGCCCTGGAAACAAAGGTTGTCCAGGAAAGGTAACAAGCCTTACAATTTTCGACTTTTATGAATTATATATATCTATATATCAATATATATATTTACAAAAGCACTTTTTAATACTTGTAATTTGCAGTGTTAGCTAATCTTCGTCTATTTTTTCACAGGTCTCAGGAGTAAAAATCGACAGCATAACATACCAAGATATACACGGATCATCAGCTTCTCCGGTTGCTATACATTTTGATTGTAGCGCGAAAAACCATTGTACAGGGCTAAGATTGGAGAACATAAAGCTTACCTACAACAACAACAAACCAGCCTCCTCAATGTGTGCCTTTGCTGGTGGATCAAGCTATGGATTAGTTCAACCTAAAGGGTGTTTGTAGAACTATATTTCGAAAATTTTCGAGTTCTTTACGTTAATTCTTCCCCCATTTTTTTTGTATGAGGGAAAGGGTGTACGTTCCACTAATTGATATTTCAAGGCAGTGGAGTATTGGAAGTGCATGTAATGTTGATAGTACATGCCTCCAACTCTTTAAGCTTGAGTGTATGTTATTATCATATTTGTATAAAGGTGTTGTGTTGTTTTGATGCATGCTTAATTTGTATGTTGATTTCCAAGAATGTAATTGAAATTGCATTATAATTATTAATTGTGAAATTTTAATTTCAATGGTAATTTTTCGGATGTTTTACGACAGTCATTTGAAAAATGACTACCATATTATTTTAATAATATATAATATGACTGGCTCGTTTTTTCACGTTATAAAATGGCCAAAATTAGTCTTATAACACCTACAATGTTAATATAAATTTTGAAAATTTTAATCCAACATAAAATAAATATTTTTTGAGAAACTATGAAATATGAATAAAAATTACATAAATGATACTAAAAGTTTGATAAATCCAAAAAATGTTAATAATAATATTTAATACTATTAATAAAGTAATATAATTAATTATTTTGAAAAAATATGTCAATTATGAACTATATAATCATTAAAACATTATGGTAGTCATATTTCAAACGACTACTGTATGTAAAATTTTCATAATGTTTCAGGCTTTTTTTATTTTATTTATTTTTTTTTTTTTTTTGCCCAAGTTTTATGGTGATACTCCATATTATTAATGTTTATCTACTAGTATTATTTGTTTTTTTAAAATTATTGTATATAGTATGTCATGCATACATTGTTAAATTAAGCCTTGAAAAAGAGCATTTATGGACAAAGATTATTATGATCTACTTGCCTCGTTTTCTTCTTAAGATCGAGATATTATCTCTTGAATACGACCGTTGTCTCACATTCACACCCAGGCTAATCAAGGTTTTTTTTTTATTTATTTTTTTCTACACAAATTCTTGAGTATGCATGGTCCCGTCATAAAAAATTAAAAACCTTGATTAAGGTTGACGTTTATTAACATATTTTAAAACGAGTTAAAATTATCGTAAAAGTATTTAAGAGTACCCTTATATATATTTACACAACTTACCATTTTTCTAACATATATTTTACCCTTAAAACTAAATTAAAACATTTATAATGTATTAAATTAATCATATAGCCTTAATAGCATGTATTCATTAGAAATTTAGAAACTACACATTTAAATACAATTACAAATTAAAAGTTAACTGACCCTTAGAGAACTTAGAGTTGCCATAAAAGTTGTTAAAGTTACTTCAAAACGTCTCACAATATAATTAGCATAAGCCCGTTTAAAGTATTTCATTTTCTGAGACTAACTATATTGTAGTCCACACTAATAAATAATAACTCTAAATGTTAAAATAAGGTAATCTAGAAAAATATAGTATAACCGTCTAATTCATGAAATTAGAATAATCTAGGTATGAAAAATCTTGTAGAGAAAATTAGAGTAGAGAAATGTAAATGTAAGTAGACAATTCTAGAACTAACTACAGGTACAAGCAAGAATAGTGGAGTAATGAACCGACATACTCCACTATAAATACATGCTATGTATAAGTATGTAATTTAATGTGTATGTATGTAAGTTAAGAGCTCGTACAAGTTAGAGAGTAAGAGTCTGTTAAATTACAAGTAAAATAAGTTTAGATTAGTTTTAATAAGTTCAGATTAGTTCTAATAAGTTAAGTAGAACATCTTTTAAATCATTATATTTGAGGTATTTGAACTTTAAAGTAGATTATTTCGGCCCACTGGTTGGCGGTTCAGGCTCGTCGTCGCCGTGTGCTTTTATAGTCCTTATAGTCATTAGTTCTTGTTTGTTTGATTTTACTATCTTAGAACTTCTTGTCAAAAAAAAAATAAAAAAAATAAAAAAAATAAAATTTAGTAGTTTAACGTATACCTACATGCTTAAATTTGTACAACCATAAAAATTCATAAATTATTTATTTATTTGTATTTTGACATATGCTTAATAAAAATAAATTAAAGTTAGATAATGCTAAAAACATTAAATTGTATCTAAAACTAAAATATAATTAAAAATAGAGCAAAGAAAAGGAAAATACAAGCAATACACCTTAGAATGAGTACCTTACAAAATGCAGAAGACACGGAAGGAAAACAAAAAGGTGACAAAAATGAATGTGTGTGTGTTTTTTTTTTTCCAACAAAAATGGCAATGAAAAAAGGACGTAGAACCACACATATGTGACATATCTATTACATAGAAAAATAAATTTAGAAACGGTTCTTACGGAGTTGAATTCTCTCTTCCTTTGGTTTTCCCAACATTCTTACTTTAAAAGGGACATTTAATCAAAAACAATAATTAAAACATAATACGGAGTAGTTATTAATCTAACAAGCCAATTTTATTTCTAGAGATACATATATATATACATACATTGAAAAGTGAGACAGAAAAATGGCGTGTAAAAGAGGAACATCCTTGGTATGGATGATGGTCGTGGTTGTCGCGGCAATACTGGTGGCTGAAAATGGGAGGATGTGCTCTGCATTTGACTTGGGAGAGGCAAAAGAGGCCGTGCTGGACAAGGCTGAAGAGGCCAAGGATTGGGCTTACAACAAAATCTCCGGGTCCGGGTACATATTTACTTGTCCCTGATCTGTATTTCGATCATTTTCATATTCTCTGACCATTTAATTACAATTTTTTTTTTTTCCGCACGTCTTAATTCATCATCATGTACAAATAATAGTTACTCATAATTGGTATCCTTATCAAAATTAATTTAAATTTGAGTATGAATTACAAATGTAATTTTTAAGTTTTATGTATATTTTTTTGACAGGAAATTGAGTGTTAACCCACAAAACATGAAACAGGCTGCGGAAGATATGATGCATGATGGTAATATAATTTCCTTTTTTCTAAATAAATGTGATCCCTTTTGTACATTATTTGGTCTAATTATATTTATGATAATGCAACTATTGTACAAATGATATTATATTTTACAAAATTTTAATCACGTATATTATCATTCATATTCTTCATTACACCTCATACATGGTTGGATCCTAAATATTTCAACAACAAAAATACTAGCTTAATTTGACACCTAGACACGTATGTACTAGCTAAGTATATGACATGAATAAGTACTCGAGTCATTTTTTTTTTTTTAGCGGTAAAATGGAGGGATGAGGATCGAACCCCCAACCATTTGGGGGGTGATGGAGGGACTAACCATCCCTTCATTTCCTATGTCCTTGTACCCGAGTCAAAATAACATGTTATTACAATATGATAAACTCGGTAGAAATTTACTTTCACTGTTGATTTCACCAGGTACGAAATTCGCATCAGGAAAAGTACACACAGTTTCGCACTCAGTGAAAGACGGTAATGAAAGGTTTTATGCTGAGGCGAAGCGCGACGCCGGGCCAGCCTACGATTCCATGGCTACGAAAACCGTCAGGGAAGATTAATTTCATTCATATAAGACATAGCCTGCCTTATAAATTGGGCAAGGTTTCTTCTAAGATGCATTCAACGGTCTTAAATTAATTTGTTGATCAGCTAGTTTTCCTTCTACTTTAGGATAAAACAATATACATGTATTGTTTTCATGATACGATAATAAATGGTGAAATATTTTTAAAACTTTTGTTATAAGCTAAGTAATAATAAGTAATTATATTTGTAGTGAGTTAGAGTTGATAGTAGGTATATGCATGTATAATAACCTTATAATCTTGTGTCCTAATTGATGCCGGAGATTATTGTTTGAGTGTAGAATGTACCCCAAAGAATATTTAACAATATATGTAATTATTGTTTAAGAGCAATTTGCATAAGTTTGAACACGTACTGTTTCTGCATATCATGGTGAAATTGTTACGATTACAAAGGAATTGTAACCTCATAGGCACATACGACCTGTTGTGAAAGGCAAGAGTATTGATCAACTATGAAAAATTATTGTAATTAAGACATTATCACCATATCTTAATTCTCTCAAAACAGGATATTTCCAACTTTAGCAAGTTTAATTTCTGGTTCCTATTGCCCTACATCTTCACATATAAAATATTAAATTAATTATATACTCCCACATCCAGCTCAAAATTATCAAACCAAATAAATTTGATCAATTAGTACTCCGTACATGTTACTATATATTTGTTAGAGCACTTACAGTAGAGAAAAATTTCTCCTCTAGAAATTTTTTTTCCCCAAAAAAGCACCCCACCAACGAAATTTCTCAAAAAATTCTAGAAAAATTTCTCAACTTTCATCTTACTGCTATGGGCTGACTATTGGTGGGGTAGGGCGCAGGTTTTGGTCTTTTTTTTTTTATTAATTTCGTGTGGGGCCCACCAAAAAAATAAACATACAATAATTATTCAACGGTAAAATTGCAAAAGTTGTGGTGAGATTAAATGTTAGCCAATGATCTTCTTACACGTGTCATTTTTTGGAAGAGCTATTCTAACAGTAAAAATGTTACCGTTTTTATTGAAAAACGGCTATTTTGTATACAGTAAATTATTTTCTTAAAAAAAAAAACAAAAATTACCAACGGAAAAAAAAAAATTTCTCTATAAGTAGACATCCATTTTTCCATATTTTGATACAGATAAAAATATCGTTTTTCACTCTTTAAATTCCTTAACAGTATCATTCAAGTGTTTAATCAAATTTTATCCCCTAAATTTTTGTGTTATTTTGTTCCCTTTTTTAAAAGTAAAAATAAATCCTAATAATCCCAATCGTTCACAAAATGTGAACGACTTTGATCCTTCATCACTTATGAATCATCCACAATTTTCTCGGTTTTTTCAAATGTATGGAGAAAATTTTCCAAATTTTCCTAATATTCCTCCACAACAACCACCTCCAAAAGAAACGACTCCACCAACTCACCAAAATTACAACCAATCTCCACAAGTCTATTAAGGAAGTAATAGTCAATAATTCATTAGTGATGAAGAAGAAACTGTTCCAGAGACACCCCAGTATCCCCCAGAGCGAAATAAGCCAATTCCAGTTGCAACAAACACCGTGATTGATCTGTTAAAGAAAAAGAAGCTCTAATTGAGGCTTACTTCAACAATTTCACACACGCAATTATTGGCAAAGATAGAAAATTTGCTGACCTTTGGAGAGATATACATTGAGAATATCATGCGGCTCATCTATCTCGACCACATGAGATTCTAGAGCGGAACAAGAACATGTTAGAGACTCATTGGAGGAGGATGGCTGCCGACCTACTCATCTGGGCAAGTGTTATGGAAAAAGCTGGTAAAATAATGGGAAGTGGGTACAATGATAGTGATGTGGTAAAAAATGCCCATGAATTGTTTCGAAGGTCTTGTCAAAATTCACCAAGGAATTTTAAATTTCAATATGCGTGGGGAAAGGTGAACGAATATCTAAAGTGGAGAAAGTTCATGAGGTGGGGTCTGAATAAGGAAGAAAGGAAGAAAGTTGACGCTGAACACGGAAAAAGAAGTTGAAGAGAGCAGCGGTAGTGGTAAAAGAACTAGAGACGATGCTACTAGTTGCTTTGTATCTGGAGGTATAAGTCGCCCTGCTGGTGTTAAGAAAGCCAAGGCCAGAAGAAAAGGCAAAGGGGTAGCATCAGAAGATTTGACTGTTGTTTGTGAACAGATGAAAGTTTACAATGATAAACGCGATGTTGAGGTTACCCTTAAACAAAAGAAACTTGATTTTGATATGCAAAAGGAAATGAGGAAGCAAAGACAACTAGAGTTGGAGGAGAAAAATCTCCAAATGCAACAAGAGAAGATGGAGCCAGATAAACTGAATCGAAAATTCGATACATTGCAAGTGTTGTTGTCTAAGACATCGCTTAGCGAAATGGAAGAGAAGTTTAAGCAGAAATTACTCAAGGAACTGTACGGGTAAAAATGAACACTTAGTATTTTGGCTTGTCATTGTGTAGTGATGTTTTTTATGGTATTGTGCCAAACACCTCCACATCGAAATCAACGTAATAATACAAATGCTCATGTTCTGGCTCAAATGGATAGAAATCATGAACAAGTGCATAACCAATTGTTCAACGACTACTTTGCGGATCCTCCACTATATAATGAGAGTCAGTTTCGCTAGAGGTTTCGGATGAAACGACCTCTGTTTTGTAAGATTGTGAATAAGATTGTGGAAAATGATGAGTTTTTTCCAGCAAAGGCGAAATGCATATGGGAAGTTGGGGTTGTCTGGACTCCAAAAATGCACGGCAGCTATGAGAATGTTAGCGTATAGGGTGGCTCCTGACGCAGTTGATGAGTATCTACGTATGGGTCAAACAACTGCACGGAAATGTCTACAAAAATTCTGTGAAGGGGTAATCAAGGAATTTGAAGATGAATATTTACGAAGCCCGACGAACGAAGACCTACGAAAGATCCTTTATAGAAATGACCAACGAGGTTTTCCAGGGTGATTAGCAGTATTGATTATATGCATTGCGAGTGGAAGAATTGCCCAAATGCATGGAAAGGTTAATATTGCGGACGAAATAAGAACACAACCCTCATTTTAGAAGCAATTACAGATGAAGATCTATGGATATGGCATTCTTTTTTCGGTATTCCAGGTTCTTGTAACGACCTTAATGTACTTTACCGTTCACCAGTTTTCATTGATGTTTTGCAAGGTCGAGCACCTCCCGTGAAGTTTAATGTCAATGGCCATGAATACAACATGGCTTACTACCTAGCTGATGGTATTTATCTGAGTTGGGCTACTTTTGTGCAAGGATTTACCAATCCTCAAACTCATAAGCATAGGGCTACTTTTGTGCAAGGATTTACCAATCCTCAAACTCATAAGCATATGATTTTTGCTGTACGACAAGCTGTTGCACGTAAAGATGTTGAGCGTGCATTTGGTGTCCTACAAGCGAGGTTTGCAATTGTACGACAACCAGCTCTTGCTTACGATGAAGATGTGCTAGCTGACATTATGAAGGCTTGTATAATAATTCGTAACATGATAGTAGATCGAGGATGAACGAGATACTTATAAGAATGCTGAAGTAACAAGAAGATATTACGAAACAGATCGCCCAATGTCGCGTCTAGAAGGTGAAGCTAGTACAAGTGGTACCATAAATAATGATGAGACATTTCAGTTTCAAACAAGACGTCCTATCGACATTAATAAGTACTTGGAGATAAGGGACGCTATGCGTAATAGACGAACTCATCAATCCTTGAAAGATGACTTGATAGAGCACATTTGGGAAAAGTTAGGTGATAATAATCCTTAAAATCTAAAGACGCAGTAGCTGAAAAAGTCTTTAAAAGAAATAAATCTTAAGTACTTTTCTTGTGTTGAGAGTGCTGATGCAGTAGCTGAAAAGAGATTGTATGAGATTCAGGGCCAGCTGAACAGTCACTACTAGAAATAGGCCAATTTACGACGGACCAGTTCCGACGGACCAGAAATCCGTCGGAAGTTTTCGACGGAATTAAATTCTGTCGGAAATTTACGACGGATTTCCTACGGAACACAAATCCGTTGGAATTTATGGGTTTTTCGACGGAATATTCCGTCGGAAACTTAATTTTTCGACGGAAATAAAATCCGTCGGAAATTTCCGAGGGAATTTTCCGTCGGAAACCTAATGTTCCAACGGAAATAAAATCCGTCGGAAATTACCGACGGAAAATTCCCTCGGAAATTACCTTTTCCGACGGAACATAATTAAATAATAAAAAAAAATTCCGTCGGAACATAATTAAATAATAAAAAAAAAACAAACCTAAAACCTAAATACACGGACCACTACCTAAAACCCCCCATTATCTTTCATTTCTCTTTCCTCACCCCGCCTCTCTTCTTCTTCTCTAGCTTTCTCTCTCCTCTCTTCTTCTCTAGCTGCATTATACTCCTCCATTTTTGACATATATATCAAAACAATAATTGACATATATCAAGCTCCTCTTGTTCCTCGTTCCTCCTCTTGCGTTTCTTGGTTTCTCGGCGTTTCTCCTCCTGTCCAAGCAACGTCTGCCGGTGGTTTGAGCCCAAGCAACTACGACATCGACTTCTCGTTCCTCCTTCAGATCTAGGTTTTTTTTTCGATTTTTGATTGTTGTAATGTTAGATCTAGATTATAATTAGTTTTTGTTATAATTGTAATGTTATTTGATTAATTTTAGAAGATGATTGTATATTTATTTATTTTGTTTGATTTCATTTTTTATTTTCGATTTTTGGTTTATATTTCGATTTTTTGTTGTTTTTGGCTGATTAATTTCAGAAGAAAATTGTAATGTTATTCGATTTTGGTAATTTTTTCGATTTTTGGTTGTTGTTTCAATGTTGTTGGTTCGTGGGTGTGGTGGTGGGTGGGGGTGGTTCGGCGGTGGGTTGGGATTGTGGTGGGGTGGTGTCGGTGGGCTGGGATTGTGGTGGGTCTGGGTGGGTATAGGGCCGTAGGGGGGTAGGGGTGGGCTGGTGGGAAGGGGGCTTGGGGTGGGCTGGTGGGTAAGGGGGGTGGTGGTATGTTAGGGGGGCAGGGGGTGGGCTGGTGATGGGTTAGGGGGGTGGGTTCAGGTAAGGTGGGTGGGTGGGTTTAGGCTAGGGCTGGTGGTGGGGGTGGGGGCTGGTGGTAGGGGTGGTACTAGGTTTTTTTTTATTTTTTTTTAATGTTATTTCCGACGGAATTTCCGTCGGAAGTTTCCGGCGGATTTGTATTCCGTCGGAAATTTCCGACGGACTTTCCGTTGACCGGAATTCCTCTTCCGACGACGGAAGTTCGTCGGAAATTCCGTCGGAACAGTGTTTTCCGACGGAATTCTGACGGAAA